TTAACAAGATTTGAACGAAAAATCAAAATTTCACCTCGTGTGTGTACTTATTTCCTTTCCATAGTAAGCAAATCGTGGCACATCACATCATATGTCCACTCATGAATGAGAGAGGTGCGATCTAACGAACACAAAAAGGTTATTCTCTTTTAAGTGGCATATCAAGCGTAACTGAAAGAAAATTGTCTCAGTGAAGCTCTAGACCTGGTCTATGGTATGTTGTCATTGTCGTGACATCAAGCGCTTTGGCTCCACGGTAGCGCACAAAGGGATATTCCTGTATACTAGAAGAGGTTAAAGATAAAGATTAACTGTCGTAGGAATTTCATGCCAAACCAAAAACAAGGTTTGGATATGTGCCTCGTACCCTTAATGAGGCCAAAACTGTAGCAATGCGTTTAGCTACCACTTCAAGCATGCATCTGCTCTCTGATATAAATTTCTTCTAGAGCATTTTCCTATAGACAAAACAAACAGATTTCAATATAGAAACAAAATGAAATAGTAGTTAAAACACAGGCATTGTCCTATAGACAAAGATCGTTTGATCATGTCAAGTTATACAATTTGCAGACTTTCTGAAGGCAGTTCTAAGTTGTTATTAAAAAGAGAGTTTAGCTTCGAAGATAGAAACCAATAAGTTGATAGGTCAAGCATCAAACTCATCATTAGATATCACCATTGTCAAACTATGCAAATCTTGAGGAATAGACACAAATCAATCAAGATTTTAAACGGGGATGATACCTGGCTGTCCATGCTAATGTAATCCAAGTTCATCTGCATATTATTGAAACCAATCAAATTTTACATTTATAACTATCCTGTGTGACTGCATGTTGATAAGGAAAGTGTGAACGAAAATATAGAGTGGCATATAGAAGCAACCTCTTTCAGTGCGCCAATTCGTTTCATTGCTCTCAGGTCCTTCCTAGTGAGAGTAACTAAGCTTCTAAAAACAGGAGAACTAAAGAAAACGAAAGCCCTAAAGCCACATGTAAGAAAATAATTATTTCGAATAAGACAACCCATAGATATATGAAGTTATAAAATATGAAGGAATTTTTCACATACTTCTTCTAAAGTGGTGATTTTCCAGTCATATCTGACAAAAACGCAGCAACACTGGAAAAAAATATAAAATGAGGAACAGCTTTAGATAGCCATATAAGATAATTGGCGAGAAACTGATGTCAACTATCTCAGATGGAAGAATTTTTTACTCTGACTGGGTCGGTTGAATAAAGTATATTGCCTCCACGGAGGTCACAGGTTGTCTATGTTTAGTTATGACGTCAACCACTGGGAAATGAAACCAAACCTCAAAATATTTCCATAGAAGATAAAATTTTGATCGCTTCAAGTTCTGAGCAAGATAATCCTTACAAAAAAAATGCCTTCTTGTGTGATCTCGGACATTTTGCAGACAGAAGACATTGTCTTCACTGTGAACTTGTCCATAACAAGTACCTAATCATACATTTCCTGGTTCCGAGAATCAATGGAATGAAAGGAAAATTGACAAAACCAGGATCTAAAAGGTAATTGGATAGAAATTACCTTCCAAGTTGATCTCGAGCTCCCATTTTTTCCAGGCCTGAGCATTTCATATTGGATAAAAACGAGACGATTGCCATGTTTGAGTTTCACCAACCCGATCTCTGCTAGCAGCTCGCTTCTTCTGAGCCACACGGATCAAAAGATTCAAGATATTACATTGTCATACTTTTTCTATATAAAAACAAGCCTGAGGAAGATACGTACCTTAAGAACATCTAGCTTGAGACTGAGAAAGATCCTGTTGTGCTTTTTTTAAGGCTCATTTGGTACCGGTCCAAGCAATCTCAACTCGTTCACAGCTACTACATCAAGAAGTAGAAAAGCTCAAAAATGATTTTTAGTTACCACGGTTCAAGCCTTTTTAGAGAGAAATATTGTTAATTACCTCCATCATCTTTCGTCCCTTTTCACTTCAAACTTCTTGGGGTAAATCGCCTCACCAATCATCATTAAGCGCAGCTTGCTTTCTCGATTTCTAACCTGGAAATGCTAATGATCTTCAGCACAACAATCTTCTGATGTCTGAAACTTAAACTAAAAAGCAGAGCATCTTACATTGTTGGTGGTCAAGAATTTGATAACATCTTTTCTTTCAGCATCCCCAAATACAAGGTCCTGCTCGAGCTTCCCGAGGTATCTTAGACCTTTTTCCATGATAGTTCTATTAATTGTTCTAGCACTCTGCAGTGACATTAAACCATATTTATTTTATAAAAACAAAGGATCTACCTTGTAGCGTCAAACTAATCAACTTGTAAGATAAGTATATTTAATCAAACTTTTTTCCATGGTTTATGTTATAAGCATAAAACTGACCTCTACATGAAGAGAGAGCTCTTTCCCTTAACTGAGGCAAAGCGTGAACCATCTTGTGCAAATCTTTTGATTATAGATCGCCAAAGTCTCTGCATACAAGAAGTCAATAAATTAACAACAAATGTTCTAGTGGATCACTTTAAACAAGAGAAAAGAAAAACCGGTATTTACTTTGTACTGTGTTTCAATTGCGCGGCTTTCTTCTTTGACATGAAGGTGACATCTTCTCATGTACTATTTCGAAACGGTAAGTAAGAAACTATCTACAGAAATTAAGCTAGAGAGTTAGCTTTGAGTAAAGAAGTACAAAAAGTTGAACAAGTTCAGTAGGCGAGGAAGCAAGTAAGAAAATTTGCAAAGAAGCAAGAAGCTAGTAAGGAAAAACATAAGCAGGAAATCAAAGAAAAATACAGAAGCACGCAAGAAGCAAGTAACAAAATAAGCAGAGAAGCAGGAAGCAAGCAAACAAGAAATCAAATAAAATATGGAACAAGCAAAAATGTAAAAGAAGCAAGTAAAGTTAAACACGTTCAGTAGGCGAGGAACCAAGAAAGAAAATAAGCAAAGAAGCAAGAAGCTAGTAAGGCGGGAAGTTAGCAGGAAATAAAAGAAAAATAAGGAAGCAACAAAGTAAACAAAAATAAGCAAAGATCCAGGAAGCAAGTAAGCAGGAAATTATAAAAAAAACGGAAGCAAGCAAGAAAATGAACAATGAGTAAATGATGCAAGAAACAAAATAAGCAAAGATCCAGGAAGCAAACAAGCAGGATATCAAAGAAAAACATGGAAGCAAGCAAGAAAACAAACAATGAGTCAATGAAGCAAGAAACAAAATAAGCAAAGATCCAGGAAGCAAGCAAGAAAATAAACAGCGAGTCAATGAAACAAGAAACAAAATAAGCAAAGATCCAGGAAGCAAACAAGGAGGAAATCAAAGAAAAACATGGAAGCAGGAAAGAAAATACACAACGAGTCAATGAAACAAGAAACAAAATAAGCAAAGATCCAGGAAGCAAGCAAGCAAGAAAAGAAACAATGAGTCAATGAAGCAAGAAACAAAATAAGCAAAGATCCAGGAAGCAAGTAAGCAGGAAATCAAAGAAAAATATGGAAGTTAAGCACATAATCAAGGAAGCAAGCAATTGTGCAAGTATGTATGCAGATATGCAAGTATGTATGAATGCAGATATGCATGTATGTATGAATGCAGATGTGCATGTATGTATATGTAGATGCGTGTGTGTATGTATGCATATACATTTCTATACTGGTTGAGAAGAATCCATATAATTTTTTTTGGTTATCTGTTGCTGCAGAGAAGAGAGACGAGATCAAACTGTAAATAGGCAAAATCAAAAGACCAAGCACACGTAAAGGATTGAACGGAACATACTGGAACATCTGACTTGAGAATTTTTTGGTAGGATTTCGAGTAATTTCGTTTGCGATCAACTCCGTCGCTGATATTGTATAACTAAAAATGAGAATTCACAGGAAACACGATAATCAGAGACATCATATTGGGGAAAAAGCTAAAATCCTATTGAAGAAATTAGCGACAGAATTGCGATTGGGTAAAAACCTAAAGCAAACACCAACAAATTCGATGAAAGCCTAAATATCCTTTAGCAAAATCGCACACCAACAACAACAAAAACCTCCAAAATAAAATTCGAATTCAAAAGCCCTACTGTTGACGGAGAGAGATAGAGAAGAAGAAGACACACACGAAGCTCCTCCTCTTCGATCAAACGGCTAATTTTTCCTTCGGCTTGTAACAATGATTTTACAATTTGGTTGAATCTATATATATATATATATATAGCTATATATATATATATCATTTTACAATATTAGCCCAAGAGGCAAAACGGAAAGGCCCATTTCAAATATTAAATTTTCAATATTCCCTCCCAAACACAGTGAGAATTTCGACGTTCAACAAATTACCGTTGGAAAAAACTAAACCGGGGTTTTAAAATCTGGTTTAGAAAAATCCTGAAATTGAGGTTAAAGCTTAACCACGGTGTAACCCCATGATCTCCTCTGTCTTAATCAAAACTGTTTCGAGTTACAGATTTGACCTCAAATTTGCTGAAATTAAACTCTAAAGTATATATATACCCCAACTAAAGAGGTTTATATAAGCATCCAAGCTTTTTTTTTCTTCTCTATTTTTTTTTGAAAAAGAGGATAAATAAAATAATCACCTACGAGAGCAAATCATTAGTAGATTTTACACAACTTGTTTGCTTGTTTCCAAATTTGAAGAGTGAATGTTAATTCTACAGAAGAACATATATACACCAAAGATATTTACTCCAACCTGAAATCACATACCAACAAAAAAAAGAAAAAAGGAAATTTCTTACTAGTTGATATGAAAAAAGGAAACTTAATAACAAAACATAAAAAGGAAACTGATCGATATGTGACCGTTAAAAGCGCGAAACAAAAATAATCACAATTGACAACGCTTATATATATCTCATTTACATAACCCTAAGCTTCACAATCCATTCTCGATTGATTTTCATAATTTCTCTCTCACTCTCTCCTCTGTTTCTCTCTCAGAATTTCTGCATCACTCTTCTGAATTTTGCTAGGAATCTTCGTTTTCAAACATGGATATTCCCGAGCTAATTTTTGGCCATGAGGCTTTTACCTTGATCATCTCCGCCACAATTACTAACTGGAACGTCGCGGCTAACTCTGATCTTCCTCCATCGAACATCGACGAGGATGAAATATCGACGATTATTTCACTAGGGAGTAGGATGAATGCAGAGGAACTGAAGAGAATGGAAACAGAGTCGTGTTCGATCTGTCTCGACGAGCTCTCATGTTCGAATCCCAAAAAACATGGTGTTCCTACACGCATGACCTGTTCCCATGTCTTCCACGGTCGCTGTCTCTCTGAGTGGCTTCAACGCAAAAACACTTGCCCGTTGTGTCGTACTGTGCTGTATGATCGATGATTTTGGAACAAAGGGGATTGAAATTAGGGTTTCATCAACTGGTTGCAGAACTTGAGTCACACGTTTCTATTGTTAAGGAAACTTTTTTCTTATCATGTATTCTTGTTGTTGTGTTAGGATTTCGAAAGAAGAAGTTAAGATTTGTAATTCCAGAATTTATTGTAATTTTTTTTTTTTCTTAGAGTATTAAATCAATTCGAGGAGGTTTGAAATTTTAATAACATCATTACTTCTTATCACATAAATCTCCAAAGTTTGTACATACCTTCAATGGTTTTATGTTGTTCACATACAACTCGTAAAGTCTTAACCAAAATCAAAACCAGACTTCTTTAGACTTGGTTTGACTCTTAAACCAAAATCAAACTAGGTTTTTGCCTTTAATCTACAACAAAGACCACCAACTCAATAAACTGACAGACTTGGTTTAACTTTTCATAATTAATTACCGGTATAGTTAGTTTCTTGATCATAAGATGTAAGAACCCGGTTTACTGTTTCAATTGCTATCAATTCCGCTTTAACAGGTGTTGAGTACGAGCTATAAGCTCTTGACCAACATAGCACCCTTTGTCAAAGCTTATCGCATTGAGACCAACAAAATTATATTCAAGCGGAATTGCTTCGCCTGTTAAAGCCAAACCCAAATCAACTACACTTAATTCATGCTTCGAAAACCTTGAGTTAGTGAGACTTTCAAACTCTTTTGGGATATTAGATACCAATTTCATTCAGTATAGGTCTTACAAATGCCTTTAGCCACATTCCGTCTTCCAGCTACATCATCTCAATTTTTTTTTCCCGGTTCCTGATTCCAACACCTCAATCTCCGGGCACAGTTTCATGGTTTCCTTCCCCATAATTAAGACCGGAGGTGTTTTGAGTTTATTAAAACTAAGTAGTAAAGCAAAACGAATTTTAGAGTTTAAACCAATTAAACAAAAAAAAAAATATTACTAGTTGACAAGAAAAAGGAAACTTTATAACAAAACATAAAAGAAAGGAAATTGGTCGATATATGACCGTTAAAAGCGCGTAACAAAAATCAATTACAATTGACAACGCTATATATATATATATCTCATTTACATAACCCTAAGCTTCACAATTCATTCTCGATTGATTTTCATAATTTTCTCTCTCACACTCTTCTCTGTTTCTCTCTTAGATTTTAGGTTTCCTTGAGTATCTCTTCTGAAGTTTGCTAGGAATCTTACGTTTGAAAACATGAACACTCCTCCTCAAGTGGAATTTCGCATCCTCCATGCGAGGAAACTTTTCCCATCAGAAGGATACGCAAAGACAATCATCATCTACGTCGGTGAGATCTCTGATACCGATCGGTCGCTTTATCCTCCCGTTCTCATCAATCTCTGTAATATAAGTCGCAGCCACATCCGAAGGCTTCTCCAAGATCAACTCGTTAGCCACCACCACTGGTTATCAACGGCTGCAACAGCGTTAGGTTTTGGCCGTAACGGTTTTAACTTGACCATCTCCGTCAAAATTACTCACCAGACCGTCGTGGTTAACAGCGAGGAGTTATTGAGGATGGTTTTACTAGGGAGTAAGATGAATACAGAGGAACTGAAGAGTATGGAAACAGAGCCGTGTTCAATCTGTCTCGACGAGCTCTCGGGTTCGAATTCCAAAAAAACTGGTGTCCCTACACGCATGACCTGTTCCCATGTCTTCCACGATCGCTGTCTCATTGAGTGGCTTCAACGCAAAAACACTTGCCCGTTATGTCGGTCTGTGCTGTACGATCGATGATTCTTGGAACAAAGGGGATTGAAATTTAGGGTTTCATCTACTGGTTCCAGAACTTGGGTCACACGCTCTCTATTTTTAAGGAAACTTTTTTTTTTTATCAAGTATTCTTGTTGTATTAGGGTTTCGAAGAGGAAGTTAGGGTTTGTAATTCCAGAATTCACTGTAATTATGTGTTTTCTTTTTTAGGGTATTACATCAATTCGAGGAGAGGTTTTGCAATTTTAATAAGATCATTACAACTTCTTATATCACATACATCTCCAAATTTTGTCACTTGTCAACTAGTAATAAATTTCACATTCCAATACGAAATGTGATGTCAATTTTAATAACATCATTACACATTCCAATACGAAAGATTTACTATTCAGTATATTGTCTGGTTTATGTGGTAAATCAAATTCGGACCCAGGAGAACTTGACAAGTAGATTTTAAAACAGAAATGAAGTACCATAAGACATCATAAAAAACATACACAAGGCAGACATAAGAAAATCTTTAAGACGAAAATGGTAATACCCTTAGCTCAATAATTTCTTTACGCAGTTCTTCAAACGAAATTGTCTCAAAGAGCTTCTGCCTATCAGGTTCCTCACTACAAACTTCTTAGGATGAATCGCCGCACCAATTATCATTAACCGCAGCTTGCTTTCTCGATTTAAAACCTGGAAATGCTAATGATCTTCAGCACAACAATCTTCTGATGTCTGAAACTTAAACTAAAAAGCAGGGCATCTTACATTGTTGGTGGTCAAGAATTTGATAACAACATTTCTTCCAGCATCCCCAAATACAAGGTCCTGCTCGAGCTGCCCGAGGTCTCTTAGACCTTGTTCCATGATAGTTCTATTGATTGTTCTAGCAATCTGCAGTGACATTAAACCACATTTATTATATAAAAACAAGTAGCGTAAAACTAATCAACTTGTAAGATATAAAAACAAGTAGAGTTACATATAAACCATTTATAAAAACAAGTAGAGTTACATATAAACCATTTATAAGCATCCAAGCTTTTTTCTTCTTTTTTTTTTGAAAAAGAGGATAAAAAAATAATCACTTACGAGAGCAAATCATTTGTAATTCGCACAACTTGTTTGCTAGTTTCCAATATTGAAGAGTGAAAAATAATTGTACAAATGAACATATATATCACTACAAATGTGGGTATTAATAGCATAATACGATAGCGTTATTGACAAACATGCTATTGTAGACGGGGACGGGATTTGTTCATAGCGTTTATAATTATGAAACGCTATAAATACTATCGCGGGAAAATGAAAACTTTTAGCCGCCTAAATTTGGTGAGTGCGGGCACCTTAACATTGCAGATGAAAAAATAAACGCTATCGTATTTGTCAAATATCTCCAAATGTAAATAAGTTTATTTTTTTTATTCATCTCTCAAGTGACTCTCTTCTCAGACAATCTGTAACTCTCTCTCTCTGTCTTTTTTCTCTCACTCTCTCTTCTCAGACAATCGAATCAAATCGAATCGAAGATTTAATACTCGAATCGAATCGAAGCTTCAATACCATCGAATCGAATCGAAGCTTCATTGTGGATCGAATGAAAAAGGTTTGTTCTCACTCGAATTGAAGCTTCATTGTTTATCGATTTTGGTCTTTTAGAATGCATATTGAGTTTGAGTTGTTATCTATTTGCAAAGGATTGAAACATGCATCTTGGATTTTGATTTTTGGGGTTTTGAATCTGAGTTTCATCATGTTGGATTTTGATTTTCGGGGTTTTTGAATCTGAGTTTCATTTCGTTTATTCAGATATGGCAAAGACAAGAGGAGGAGGACAAGTTGGTTCCCGTCGTAGTCGACGTAATCAAGGCTTGGAGGCCACACCTGCAACAACACTAAAGGTAAAGAAAGGAAAAACTGGTACTAAGAAAAGAAATGGTGGTAGAAAAAGGAAAGTGCCATGTGAAGAGGTAGAAGATGCTCCACCGCAACCTATTAGCTTGTCAGCTTCGAATGGGGAAGATGATGATAATGAGGAGTCCGGAGATGAAGTTTCTAAGAAAGAAATTCCTGAGAAAGCTGTTTCAGAGAAAGAGTCTAATCATGAAGCTCCTGAGATAGAAGTTTCTGAGAAAGAAGCAGAAGATGGTTTGAATACTGGACAGGAACATAATGGAAATGAAGAAGAAGCTGTCAATATGGAACAAGATGGAGTTAGCAATGGTAACACTGATGATGTAGCGAAAGAAAAAAAGAGAAGAGGACCAACTAAGATGCATAAGGTGGCTGAAAATCCTCAAGAAAAGGTTGAAGTTACATTCACTGACTGTGGTGATCATGTTGGGCCTGGTTTAGTAACATTATCATCTTTTCTCGGTCCTCTTGTGAGGGAACACGTTCCGGTTACACTTCCTGATTGGAGAAAACTTGATGCAGTGACAAGAGACACAATGTGGGAGCAAATTAAGGTATATTTAATTTGCATTTTAGTTTCTCTGAAAACTACATATGAAATTGTAAACATGTTTGACCTCTGCAAATTTTGATGCAGGGGAGGTTTAACGTGCATGAAGAGTGGCAGAAAGCTGTTATTATTAAGCAGTTGGGAAGTTTGTGGAGTGCTGGTAATTCAAGGCTAGTGACAGAAGTAAGAGCTGCGAATACTGCTGGTGATAGATTAGCTTTAAAACCCAGCAACATCCCATCCATTCAAATATGGAACTCTTGGGTTAGGAGCAAGTGTAGCACTAATTTTAAGGTTAGTTAGCAATGTTTAATAAGTTACTTTCTTGTTTACATGTGATATCTTATAGATGTACACTGACTCAGATTTGTATTGTAGGTAATAAGTGACAAGTACAAAGAGCTGAGAAGAAATCAGATTCCTCACACCACCAGTCGCAAAGGAATGCTTCGATTAGCTGATGATATGGTAAAACAGTTACTCAAACATCTATATTATTAATTACTTGAGAATAAAAAAATGGTACTAACATATGTCTGTATTTTATATAGAGAAAAAAGAGTAATGACCCACGTAAGGTAACTAGGAGTAAGATATGGATTGCGGGACACACACTCATGGTGATGGTAGACCTGTGAAGTCTCAATTTGCTGATACTATTGTAAGATTTCTTAAATTTGAGATATTGTGTACAGTTAATGGATTATGATCATTGAGTTAACATCTGCACATATGTTTGTATCAGGAACAAATACGGTCACTTGATAGTCAAATGGACTCTACATCAGCTTCTGAAAATATCAGGGAAGATGCGGTGAGCAAGGTTTTGGAAAAAGACAAACCTGACCGAGTAAGGGGGTTTGGCAGAGGGATTACAGCTACTAAGCTAGTGTTTCTGCATTCTAGAGACGCAAAGATTGCTGATATGGAAAGTGAGATTAGAGAGTTAAAGGGAATGGTCCACGACTTAGCTGGGAAGAAGGTAACTATTTTCATATGTCAGTTGGTTAACTAGTATTATGACATTTAATAATTCATTGTCCTTCTATCAGAAAAGTAATGGTGATCCTGAAACATCTGCGAGTAGTGGGTGTATGAAAGAAGGAGTGAAAATAGAAATACTGGATTGGTTTGACTCAACAGATGATGTGATTGGTGCTGGCGAATTTTGCTCTGCTGAGCCGATGTACAAAATTGTTCGTGTACCAATTGGTCCCAATGCAGTGGCTATTGTTGTCAAATCTGCATTATCCCCAGGAGCTTCTCTTTGGAGGCCTTCAATAGATATGTCATCTATTGAGCAAGCTGTGGGATGCAAAATAGCCTGGCCAATAGACAAAGTAATTTTAGACAAGGCTCCAAACTCTTCGGTCAATGTATCAAAGGTAATTATAGTAAATAGTGTGGTTTGTAATTCCTTGCAATATCTCTAATCATTAGCTTTTTTACATTTTAGCAAACCGATGACAATGAGATTCGAAGATGCAAAATATTTGATTGGACTAATGAAGAAGAGGAGGTTATTGGTGAAGGAATCATGTGCTCATCTAATTCAAAAGAGATGGTTAACAATATACCTCTAGGTCCGAATGCTGTTAGTATTGAAGTTGTGAAGGTGTATAAAAATGATGCTTATTTGTGGAGGCCAACCGCTGAATTGTTCACGTTTAGTGATGCAATTCACAAGAAAATCTCATGGCCAGTCCTGAAGATTGAAATCATGTCTGCAGATGCAACACCTACCAAATGCATCTGAGCCAAATGCATCTGAGCCAAATGCATCTGAGGCAAATGCATCTGAGCCAAAATCAGTGGTATGCTATTTATATAAAGTTTGATTATTTGTTTGTCTGTTGTATTGATGTTTGTACTTGATTCTATTTTTCTGGTTTGAACTGTAGAGTCCAGGCAGCAATAGTTCCACCAAAAGTGGACATACTAAGTGTTTTCTTTTAGATTGCAACAGCTCTGGATGCAAGGTAGCTGAAGGAAGAGTATCTTCAACGGATCCGAACGATGTGTGCCACTTTGTACCCTTAGGTCCAAATGCAAGCAAGGTTTGGGTTGAAGTTGCTAAGATTAGTACTGCAAAGGTTTGGAGACCAACTTCAGAGATTGCATACATTTCTGATGCGATAGGTTCAACTGTTGCATGGCCAAATGACAAAATATTGTTCATTTGAACTTAAGACATGGTTTGGTAGTCTAAGATGCTGGTTCGGTTATGTTTTATTTCTATGGTTATGTTTCATGTCCAAGTTTAAAACTTGATGTATTGTGGTACTTATGTTATCTTATGTGATATTATGAATAAGTGTGGTCGTGAAAAAAAAAAATTACTAAGTTTGGGTTTTTAAAAATTTTGAATTTAAAAAGATTTAGGAAATAATATGACAAAATTAGTACCAGAAACACAAGGGATCAGTTGCTCTCCTCGCAGCGAGTTCCTTGGTTTGCTGGAATCTGGTTCAAGCATCATAGTCCAAAGTTGGGGTTCATTGCTTGGCTAGCTGTGAGAAACCGGTTATCGACGGGTGATAGGATGCAGGCATGGAATCAG